GACAAATGGGGGGAGGGGAGAGGGTCAAGAGAGGAAACTGGCAAACGTTGCGGTAGATGTGAAACAAGTTATAATGGAAGGAGAAATTGAAAAGAGGAAACAGCAAAGAGGAGGGTTGGGCATTTTTTCCTTTTATGTCTGCAGAGCGTAAGCACAGAGAGGGGAAAGTTAAATTGAAATGGTGCGAGCTAATGTAGAAGAAATGGTATAGATCTGATGGGCAAACTGTTCAACTTTTTTTTAGTTTCAAACAGTTTTGTTAGAACAAAGATGCTGCACTTAATAAAGTTCCACAGGAACATTAAAAATACGTTGTTCAAGCTGAATCTTACAAAAAATAAGACTGCAGTAAAAATGCTGTAAAATTATGTGCCAGCACCTCAAATATTAAGTCCTGTTCCCCGGCTTCAACACTTCTGTTAAGCTTGACAAATTGTTTTGTTTTAATGCAAATGTATTTTTCTTTTTTTTAMTGTTGGATTAACAACACAAATGATAAAGTCCTAAAACTAGACATTTTCTTGCAAAATAACAGGAATAAAAAGCTTTTAAAGACYGTAAACAGCTTTATTTATCATTAACATTCAGGCTGTACGATGTTTGTGAAAAACAAAAGCTACATTGAAATAGCTTCAATAGTGAAAAATGTGACATGATTCAAATGTAACATTTTTTTTCTTTTTTCCCTCCTGTCTGTTTAGGTTTCCACAAACTGTGACCAAGTGTTGGTAAACGGTAAGGAGATGCACGGCCGGCAGTCCTTGGCAGTCAACTTCACCTACCTCCACCTGTCGGCTCAGCTGCTGCTCACCGTCTGGGTGCCCAAGCTTCCCCTGCAGATAGACGTGTCTGATACTGAGCTGAGCCAGGTCAAAGGCTGGAGGGTGCCCATCACCACCAACAAGAGGTGATTTACCTGCTTGACCTCCTCGCGGTGCGGACGGGAATCACACTGTGTGGTCTGTTTGTTTCTGAAAATCCAGTTCACACACAGTCCTGTGATTCAGGCTGTGAAGGTGTTCACTCTGCTGGTTCTGCTCCTCTCACATCACGTCTAATTTTTTTTTTTTATTGTTGAGAGAGATTTCAGAATAAAAAAAATAAACCTTTCTGAAACGGTACCACAGACATCATTTACTGTCAGATCAGAGCTGTGCTGTCAAAACCTGCAAGCTTGGATTTTTGGATTTATGTTTTTTTTATGTTCTTGTTTGAGTTTTTCTTCAAACATCTTGTGAGACAAAAAAGAAACAGAAGGATATTTCAAGCACAACAGAAATCTTTAATTTTATTTACAGACTGTCACCTGTAAGTTTGAGTAAGCTGTTATCGTTGGAACTACTTGCACCACTGTGCAGCCTTGCTTTCTTAAGCTATATCCTATATGAACCATGCAGATGTTTCCCAAAATACACCTTCAGTGAAGCTTCCACACTCCACACATCTGCTTGTTTGGTCACAATGGCTCAGTGGTTGGCACTGGTG